TTTTTTTTTTGTCCATTAAGTTACATTATTTGGTTAGAATTTTCTTGGGGCGCTTGGTACTGGTGTCGCTACTGGTGGTGATGGTGCCACTGTTGTTATTATTGGTAGAACAATATCAGTTGAAGTCTGATGAGGTGCAGAAGCCGACGGGTAGTAGGGAGCACGATAAAAGCTCCAGGGTAGCTGGAGATTGAGGTGAAGTGATACCGGTGAGGATAAGCTGCGGAAAAAGGAAAACTTTTTAAGGCATACAATTCTGCAAAACTTGAAGCGTCAAAAATGCGGAAAGTCATTTCAATTAACACTTATTAGAGAAATCAAAAAGACTTATTAACTAATTTTATTCAACAAAAATTTGTTTTACCAGTTATTTTGTGAAAAATAAACTGATTATATTATCCCGTTGCATAAACAAAAACAGAAATATGCAAAAAACTGACAGCAGAAAAAAAAAGATAAAAAAAGAACAAAAAGCAAACTAAAGAAATATGAACCACAAAAAAAGATTGCAAAATCGAGTAACAGAACAACCGACATTTTTAGCACCTTTTTTGGAGGGATAATCACTCTTCCGGTTGTCCTCCTATCTTATTTTACAAAATTTTAAACATCGGCAAACAGGAGGAAAAAGATGAAGAAACATATAAGCAAGCGAATAGATCAGTTTTTATCCAATATATCTTGTTCATGCTTTTATCTGTTCGCTCTTTTTTCTTTTTTCTTTTTATTTTTCAAGTTTATCCATAAATATAAAGCATGAAAAGTTACATTTTGGCAACGACCTTTGCGGTAACAATAGCAGTAGTTTTCAACAGCAAATCTTCATATTCCGCTATGTCTTTGATCCACTCATTTCTTCTTGAAATTTTTTACTCCTCCCAGAAATAGATAGATAATCTTTTTTCTATCTTAAAAAAATTTATTCAGTTAATATTTTGTCAAGACCTATTGATGAACTTTTTTTTTTGCTCAGTTGTGATATGCTAGTAAATTCTTATGCTTATAGCTGCTCAAAAACGAATTTCATTCCATTTTTTCAGTCGGATTCTACTGGAAGTTCTTGAAGAAATACGAACAGAGAAATGTATATTCATTTGAAGGCACCATTTATTGTCAAAATTCATTTCCATTTTTAGCCATCTGTTTTTTTTTTTTTTGCATCTATGCAAAATATTCTATTGCTTTTTTTTAAGACCCATCTGACCGAAGATGAAAATAAAGCAGGATCATAAAGATTAGTTTACAAGCACTACTGCTTGGACTTGTCAAATCCATGTACATCCGTTTAAAAAATGTTGGCGCCGTCGTCGGGTGAACAAACAATAGAAGTTCCTGTTGCCGTGCAAATATCCGAGGCAGACGGATGGGTGGAAACGAGCAGTGAAAGGCAGACAGATGGAATGGAAAAAGCAAAGGGTGAACATCCATATTTGGTGATGGTATCTAACATTCGGCTATATGGCAAGTTGCTGGAATTAGATAAGAACATTTTACCGCATCGGCAAAGTGCCAAAAATCTTTCCATTTTTTCCTTCTTTT